ATTCTTGAAATTACTTCTACAACCAGAACCAAAACTAATTAAAATGGTGGAACAGGAGGAAATGATGTACATGCCATCCAGTTATGTTGGCTGGTAGCACATGCATCCAGCGGGTATAATGGAAAAGAAAACGGCAAACATGCTACTTGAATTTTACTTAGCCCCTAGAATTAGCCTGTCACATGTGCTGTCCACAAGGGACCACCAAACTGACGAGCCTGGCAGAGGAACAGGGAAGTACTGGGGAGCTCTTGTATTTAACAACTTATATAGGTTATTGGGGTTGGAATACAGTTGTAATTAAAATTATTCAACCCCCATTGAAAATCAGTTTTATTGTCAAAATGTAGACTTTCAGCTGTTTGCAATTAAATCAAACAAAAGCAATTGAAATAGCCCAACACAACTGATGCTTTTGGTGGTTTCACCAAATTCAACTGAAAATGCAACTTACAATGACTTCTCCAGTCTCAAAATAATTCAGCTTCATGAGCAATTGCCTCAAGATCGGTAATTTTCTTGGGTTTGCATGCTGCAACTGCCTTCTTCAAATCCAACCAGAGATTTTCTATGGGGTTCAGGTGACTGAACAGGGCCGGCCAGCCTTAGGCGCCCCTGTGTAAAACGTTTTCACGGCGCTCAGTTACAAGCAGACACACACACGCTCAGTTACAGGCAGACAGTCACAGAACCAAACACACAGTCAAAAGCAGACAGTCACACATACTTCATTACAAGCAGACAGTCATACACACTCTGTTACAGGCATGCAGACACTCACGCACGCTGATAGGCACACACTCAGTTAAAGGCAGATAGTCACACATACAGGCACAGGCACACACAATTAGAGTCACTCACACACACACACACAGGCAGACAGTCACAGACACACAGGCAGTCACACAGACACAGTCTCACACACCCACACACAAGCAGTCAGACAGTCAAACACACACACACACAGACTTACCTCTTTCCATTATGGCGGGAAGGGGGAGTGGATGCAGTTGACTGTTGGTGAAGCAGGGACTCCTTCCTTCTTCCCTCTTTCTGTGCAGCAGTTACCAGGGGCCTCGGGTAGTTATAAGTCCCGCCTCCACCTCGCAATAAGCCCCGCTCTCGCTACCTCAATTTTTTATAGACCCGGGTGGAGAATAATGAATGCTCCCCTGACACCAGCCATGTGCGAACTGTGTCGGCCACATGGCACCCCCTGGTCCATGGCGCACTGTGCGGCCGCACAGCTCTCACACCCCTAAGGCCGGCCCTGACTGTGAATGGCCACTGTGAAATTTTTCAGGACCGCAACAAAGCCTTGGTGGAATTTGATGTGTGCTTGGTATCATTGTCTTGTTGAAAGGTCCAATAATGTCCAAGCTTCAGCTTCCTCACAGACAGCATGACTGTGACGGACCGCTGGCACTCCGACTGAGTACCTCCGCCAATCGATGCTCCTAGCGCTTGCCGAGGATTCAGAGCACTCCAACCGACACCATCAGCGCCGCGGTCTCGCCGTCTCTCACCCACCCTGGATCCACGACCAGGATCCAGCTCCCAGTGGGTGAACCTCTCCTAAATCCAGAGAGTGTAGCAGGAACAAATCAAGCTCTTACAAGAGCTTACTCTGGGGAGTAAGTGATTATAGCAATCCCCAGAGTGTAGGTATCCCTTCCCCCAAGCATGAGCCAAGGCTTCAAGAAAAGTGCAAGTAGGTCTCGTTTATTGAGAGCTACCTACCCGATATTTATGCAAGTGTCCACCAGGTGGACACTTCCCTAGGGGACCTGATGGAACAATGGGAGACATATTGGATATTAGCCAATCACAGACAATACAAACAAAACACTCCCACAGTGACATCATTCCTCTCTATCCTGGAGATAATTGGGAAGTAATCAAATTATCTCCCAGGACAGAGGCAAGACTCCATTAACCACATGGTTACAAAAAGACAAAATTACACAGTGTTACAATTACTACATAAAACATATACATGCAACATATCCCCAGATAGCTTAGATCTGAGCGCACATTATTACTGAATGGCGCTCAGATCACATACATACAGTTCAATCGCCATGGAGCCAAAGTCTTTTGTTACAGCTATCTGGGGTAGCACTACTCACATACTGAAAGTCCCGAACACCCCCACAGAAATACACAAATAAACCTTATTGCAGGGTAAAATACAGCTATCAGCATGGGGGCCATAGTTGGAAGGCAGGAGGCTAGCCAGTAGTCCCCTCCAGGCACAAGTGGCGAAGGGCACTTCGTCACAATGATGTTTTCTCCTAGGATTTCCGGATACTTTAATGAATCCATCTTGCCTTCTACATGCTGCAGGTTTCCAGAGCCAGAGGATGCAAAGTAGTCCCAGAGCATCACTGAGCCAGCACCAGGCTTAACTCCAGCACCATGCTTAACTGTAGGGAGAGTTTTCTTCTCAGCATAAGCTTAATTCTTCTTCCTCCAGACATACTGTTGATCCATTGGTCCATAAAATTCCAGTTTTGTTTAATTGCTCCACAGAACAGAACCCCAAAACGTCTGTGGCTTATTTACATGATTTTGAGCATATTGAAGCTGACTTTTTTTGTGCGTTGGGTCAGTAGTGGTGTACAACTTGGCATGGAAACCTTTTGCGTTTAGTACAGGTCTTACTGTGCTCACTAAAACCTCTGTGCCTGTTCCCACCAAGTCTTGATGCATGTCTTTTGCAGTTACTCAAGGTTTTTTTTACAACCTGCCTTCTCAGCAATCTGGTTGCAGCCATTGACAGCTTCCATTTTCTGCCCCGTCCAGGTAGTGCAACCACTGTTCGATCACCTTTGAGCTTGTCAACAATGCTTTGAATGGTGTCTCTAGGAACATTCAGTGCCTACACTCTTTCTGTATCCTGTTCCTGGTTTGTGAAGGGCAATGAAATAGTCTCTTCAATTTGTGAAACATTCTTTTGACTAAGCCATATTTCCAACAGTCTAGCAGTCAAATGTGACATTCCGCAAACCTTTAGCACAGGCAACCTTTGGCACTCCAGATGTTTTGGACTACACCTTCCATGATGCTTTGCCAGCATTATGCGTGTAAGAGCATTATGGGGGATGTAGTCCAAAACATCAGAAGTGCCGAAGGTTGCCTATCCCTGCCTTAGCCAGTTCAGGTATTTAAAGTGTTCCAGATCAAGCACACCTGGTGCAGCTAACAAAGTCCTTGATTAGTTGCATCAGGTGTGCTTGAGACAACACATTTTGCATATTTTTCCTGTTGTGAGGCATTCCATTCAAGGGGTTGAATAATTTTGAGACTGGAGAAGTCATTTTAAGTAGCATTTTCAGTTGAATTTGGAGAAAGCACTTGAAACATTCATTGTGTTGAGCTATTCCAATTGCTTTTGTTTGATTTGTTCATTGCAAACAGCTGAAAGTCTGTATATTTTGACAATGAACCTGATTTTCAATGGGGGTTGAATAATTTTGATTAAAATTAGAAGGTGTTAAATACAAGCTAAAAGAAAAGTATTTAACGTCTGACCATTTATCTAGCCATTTGTGAATACTGCTGCCCTGCATATGGAAAATGCAGGTAATTAAGCAAAAATCTATTAAATACATAAACTTTTTCATGGAGTCTGGAGTGGGCCATTAAAAGAATTTGAAAGTTATTATATAATGACCTCTCCGGCTCCATCTCCAGACTTCAAATCCACTCAACCTGATAGATAAATAACTTCTTACCTGCAATTCTGTTGGCACGGTATGTCACAGTTTCGATAGCCATGCTCGTTGAGGTTGCTTTTGGTTTCTGCAAATAACTAGATGTCACCAGGAAACGGATAAGGGAGCATCACATCAGAAGATATGACTGCTACTGTTGGTTTTGTTTTGATTCCAGAAATCCTGTGCTAATTCTGATTTTCTCTGGATGCAAACTATATTTTTGAAAATGTTACATTCAGGATTAAACCATTCTTTTCTGATGCAGTTGCTTGTGTTCCTCCTAGCTAACCCTCGTCCTCTGAAACATCTCTGCCGCTTGAAGATTCGGAAGTGCATGGGCCGCCTACACCTTCGCTGTCCTGTTTTTATGTCATTCCTCCCACTACCTGATCGCTTGAAAGATTACATTCTCTACAAGGAATATGACTTATTTGGCCAAGGCGTCTTTACTCACAGCTGGTAAACCTGCAATTGTCCCACCCACAGAATTAAATCTCCCAGTTCTTCAGCCTCGACATAAAATGTAGGTTACTGGTTTGCTTTTTTTATTAGAATACTATCATCTATATTATCTCATCTGGCTTGACGCCTGACTAGTTTAACAATAGCTATTTTTACTAAATTGCAAGCTTTGCTGCCAAGGACAATACACAGGGTGAAAGCACGGTTTATCAAAACTCAAGAGGTATGAATGAGATCTGTTAACTGTGGCACATCATGATTATGTGGTGATCTGATCTCATTCCATCTTCTGCCCATCGAATGCTTTGATATGTCCCCATGTATAAGCTTCTGCTGATTTGCCATTTGGGGGAGGAAGGGATCTTTTTCAAATATAATGGGCATATGTACAGTTTTTTGTAATTCTGTAATTCAGCAGGAGTTCAGATTTCTGTACATTTTGTCAATAAAATGTTTTTATTGGTTCTTTGGTTTTATAAGTGATTTTTCTAATGGTGCGACTAGGAATAGAGATGTCAGTATGAAATATGGATATTGGATGACTGAATGTGATCATAATGAAAACAATGTGCAGTGTTGACATTGTGAAGTTAGGTGTAATACTAAAGTGTGAATTTTAAAATTGTAATCCTAAAAAAACAACTGAAAGTTGTCTTGGTTACATCTTTGCATTCCACCTAAGTATGAAGAGAAAAGATCCAGGCTCACTCAGCCTCCTCATAACCCTCTGGGACAGAGCCCGCCTTGGCCTCAGCCAACTCACCTAGCCTGGAAGAACACAGAAAAACGCGAGTGCCTGCTCTCCTGCTGAAGGCTGGCAGAGAACTGGGGTTTTGCGAATTGTTGGCCAATTTATACCTAAGGGAGGAAGAGTATTGGGACGAACCTAACTTAACATTGTAGGTGTATTTCTGCCTTTTCCTGTCCAGACTAGAGGATATCCTATTTGTTAGGCACTGCATCTGCTCTACAGGGAAAATTATGGTTAGAATCACTCGGCAAGGTACTATCTAAGGAATATAATGAAGACTAGTGATACACCGAACGGTTCGCCGGTGAACAGTTCCTGGCGAACATAGCGTGTTCGCGTCCGCCGCGGACGGCGAACGCATGCGCGGTTCGATCCGCCCCCCTATTCGTCATCATTGAGTAAACTTTGACCCTGTACCTCACAGTCAGCAGACACATTCCAGCCAATTAGCAGCACACCCTCCCTAGCAGACCCTCCCACCTACTGGAAGGCATCCATTTTACATTCATTCTCAAGCTGCATGCTTAGTGAGAGGAGGGAAAGTGTAGCTGCTGTTGATTAGATAGGGAAATGCATAGCTAGGTTAGGGTTGGGTATGCTTTTTTTTTTTTTTCTGTGTAATGTAATTGCAGTTAGTTGTCTGCCACTGCTGCCAGCTTCTCTGTCAGGCTCACAGGGAATACTGTGCCCATTTGCCCAGTCAGTGCCACCACTCATATCTGGTGTCACAATAGCTTGCATTTAAAAACAAAAAACTTTTTTCACTGTTATAGATTGAATAGCAGTTAGTTGTCTGCCACTGCTGCCAGCTTCTGTGTCAGGCTCACAGTGGATACTGTGCCCATTTGCCCAGTCAGTGCCACCACTCACTCACTGGTGTCACAATAGCTTGCATTTAAAAACAAAAAACTTTTTTCACTGTTATAGATTGAATAGCAGTCAGTGTCCTTAAAGTGGGTGTGTTAAGTTCACAGTGGATACGGTGCCCAGTGCCACCACTCACTGGTGTCACAATAGCTTGCATTTAAAAACAAAAAACTTTTTTCACTGTTATAGATTGAATAGCAGTCAGTGTCCTTAAAGCGGGTGTGTTACACTAACAGTGGATACGGTGCCCAGTGCCACCACTTATATCTGGTGTCACAATAGCTTGGATTTAAAAAAACAAAAACTTTTTCACTGTT